TATATATATATATATAGTTTTTTTCAAATACATGACTTGTATGTATGTATGCATGTGTGTATCTGTATGCATCTATGTATCTATGTGTATGTGTGTGTGTGTGTGTATGTGCATGTGCATGTGTATGTATGTGTATAGTTTGCAGAGTGCTGCTTAGGCAATATGTGAACATGTATCTCTGCAAAAGGTGCCAACTTCCTGTCCTGCTCAAGCCAAACTGGCCATGAAGAGTAGAGCCCAGTGATTGGGAGAGAAGGGTATGCTTATAGCATCCAAATCTGATCACTGGAAGCTGAGGATAACTCTGCCCTGAGTACATGATAGCAAGCTTCATCAAGAAACATATGTATACTAAACGTTTCAGAAGAACAGGGAAAGTGTTGCTTCAAACCCAGAAAAGCTAGAGGAAGATTCTTCCAAAATAGATTGAGATTGGATAAAAGTTGTACACATGAACATTCTTTAAAAATGTTTAGTGGGTTATTCCTGACATTTATATCCCAATGCAACCCAAAATGTCTCTTGACATAGAATCCAATGTATGATGCAAATAACTACCTTTTTTTAACCTCAGCATGAACCATAAAACATATCTTATATATAATTAAAAAGTTTCTCATTTTTTAATACTGAACTATTAATTGTGACATAATTACTTAATTCTCTTTGGAAATTTACCTTAATATTCCAATGAAGGAGCTCTAATGAAATTTGGATTTCATAAAATGTCAACATTATTTTCCATTTTACCTACTAATAAGTTCCTCTTATAAACTTATATTTATAAGTAGTGTTGCATACCTATGACAATCATATTATTCAGTCCACTGAAGGCAGATTTCTTTAATTTGACAATATCATTTTCATGTGCACGCAGTTCCTGCAAACTTTTTGGCATGTTTTCTGGGAGTTCCTTCAAGTTGTTTTTGGAAAGATAAAGTCTCTCCAGTTTCTTGAGTGGAGAAAAAGCTCCAGGACTGATTTTGCTGATTTTGTTGTTAACAATGATCAATGCCTGAGTAGTAAAGTAGGACAGTTGTTAATGCCAGACAGGAAACATATTATCAGAAGCAAGATTATAAACATTCACCAGAATACTTGTATGCTAATCTCACAATGGCCTGTTTTGAATTTTATTTTTGAAGTACATGTTGGCTGTGCTACTTTTATGCAGTCAGTATTTATATGAGTGCAAAATGAAATGTGGTTTGGCTGAAATTTTACAATAACTGCCAAATAGAGTGGGAGAAATACTTGGATTAAGATTGTGGCAGAAGAGAAGGAACTTTAACTCTGCCTTGACACTGCCTCTATCACGTTCACTTCAATGTTCAAAATTTCAATGAAAGATGGGTACAAATATCTACTGAGAAATCTTATTTAGCTTTTCAAATGGGATGAGAGCTCAACATCAATTATAGCTCATTCAGTAAGAATGGTGAAAACTAAGGGCACATCCAGATAACCAGACTTTTGAATCCTTCTGTATTCATTTTTAAAAAGGTAAAGATTGTGTCCAGTCATGTTCAACTCTAAGGGGTGAGGTTTATCTCTATTTCTTAATAGAGTGAGCCAGTGTTGTGTGATGATATCTCCATGGTCATGTAACCAGCATGACTATTCAATGAGGGACACATTGGTCATATTTATCTATTTGTATTTGCAAGCTTTCAAACTGCTACGTGGGCTGGGGCAAGTAATGGGAGTGTATCCTGTGATGTGGCACTTGGTGTTGAATCTTTCCAGTTGATAAGCTCAGTGTCTTTAACCTCTGAGTTAACCCCTTTCCATTTCAAGGTAATAATTATGACCTTTAAAGCGCTCCATGGCTGAGGCCCAGGATACCTGCGAGACCACCTACTGCCACCAGTAGCCTCCCACCATCCAGTGCGATCCCACAGAGTTGGCCTCCTCAGAGTGCCGTCGGCCAGACAGTGTCAGCTAGCGACCCCTAGGGGGAGAGCCTTCTCTGTGGGAGCGCCTTCCCTCTGGAATGAGTTGCCCCGGAGCTTCGTATAATCCTCAACCTCCAGTCCTTCTAACACGCCCTAAAAAGTTGGCTTTTCCAGCAAGCTAGCCTGGCCTGAACAAAACAAAATAAATTATTGATTATTCTTAATTTTAATTGAATTTTTTTAAAAAATGTTATTAGTTAATCTTAATTGGGTTTGTTTTTTGGATATTCTATCTAATTTTTTTTTAACTTTTGTAATATGTGTTTTTTTTTTAATGTTGTATGCCGCCCTGAGTCCTTGGGAGAAGAGCGGCATATAAATCCAATAAACCAAGAAACCAACCAACCAACCATTTAAAATTGAACCAGGTTCTTTGGACTTTTCCCCCCCAAATATCCAATGTTGATATCCTATTAGCCTAGAAGCGCATTGCAATTGGATTGGTGCTGGCTGTGAAAGCTCGAGGCTGTGAAAGTGTGCATCATCATATTTTCAAATGTATTTCAGATATATGGTTGGTGGGGTCTGTGGGAAACAGCAAAGGGTGACTTGAACGGGGACGTCTGAGCCAAAGGGAAAGAGACATACTTCTATGTACAGAGTGGTGGTTTATTTCATTTCTCTACTCTTGAACTTGGGGGAAGAAAAACTGCTGAAAGTAGAATGATCCCCTGTATAATATCTGATCTCTAGCCATTTTGTGAATGCTGGTATGCCAGGTCACAAAGTCAAGTTCCTGGTGACAATTTGAACCTTAGTTACTAATAACAAATCAAAGCTGGGACATCTAAGTCAGTCTCTCTCTCTCTGCACAATGAATGCTAATATGACTGAATTAGGTTTCATATTGAAAACCAAATGTATATAAAATATTTCAGACTAATTTACAATTTTTGAATGATGAAACAAAATGTTTCTCTAGATTCCGTTAAGGCTATAATTAAAGTGTATTTATAGTTGAAATAAGGGACATACTGGCTCAGTGGCTAAGACTCTGAGCTTGTTGATCAGAAAGGTCGACAGTTCGAAGGTTTGAATCTCTAGCACCACCTAACAGAGTGAGCTCCCATTACTTGTCCCAGTTTGTTAACTAGATGTTTCACAATAGCTTGAGCAATGTAGATTGCAGTCAGTATCTCTATGAGTATGAGGGGAAAAGTAATGGCTATTTGACTCAGGTGAAAATGCATTATTTGCGTCTTCTCCTTGGTTGGATAGATGACAGTTGATTCTAACAACTGCACTGCTTTTATTTGTTCCTTTTAAAATCATATCCTTTCCAACAGCCTTCCCAAGTCCATTCACTTGGTTTTCTGAGCTGAGATATGTAGGTAAGTATATGTAGATGTAGGTTTTGTAGATATAGATATATAGGTATTATTATTGTTCCTTAATTTCAGAAACGTTTCATCCCTTAAGATTTTACTATAGCTATAAAACCATGTTTGTTCATCTTATTTATTTCTCATGCAAGTTGCACTCATATTAAGTACAATCCAGAGGTAGGTTCCTACCAGCTAGACAACCGGTTCACTTCACGCGGGCTTTGCATCACTACATGTGTGTGTGCAGGTTCTCAAAAACAGAACTTCCACATTGCAAATAAGGAAAGGAGCAAGGATACCAGCTGAGGAGCGGTAATTCAGTCTGCTGCCACTGATCTGTTGGGCTTCAGAAGCAGAAATAAAGGCCAGTATAAGCCAGGGGCGACAAGCTGCCCAACTTCATGAAAACAGAGAACCAGTTCGCTCTCAGCTTGCAATCAGAGCTAACGGTTGAGCCGAACCGGTAAGAACCCACCACTGGTACAATCATGCGGTAATATTCTTTCTGACATTTAATATATAATTTTACAGAATAATCCAGTAGGTGTCAAAATTCTATTCTATTCTAAACGCCAGGTTTCAGCATTTTCCTTTTATACCAATCCCTTCCTGCAATATCTATGCAGTTAAATAACTCTCCTCCTCATACTTTGCTTATTTCAAATTTCCTTAGCTCTTTTCTAGCCTCCCTATCCACAAGTGAATTTGTTGCATAATTATCTTCTTTTAACCTTCATTCTTCTTTCAGTCCTGGGGAAATCTGCCCTTCATAGCTAGGGCTGAAAGACAGGTCTTCAAACATGTAATCCTATTTCAGATTTCAGATAAATTTGGCAGAAGATTTGCAGACTTCACTTGATTACTTTAAAATCTATGCTCCAAACAAGAATGAAACATCATCCATTAGTTGATTTCCCAATATGGTCCAAAGAAGACAGATGCTTACATATTTATACTTCAAACTCTCTTGAATGAATGTACGCTTGTCAAGTGGCTTGGAAGCCTTGGGAAGCAGTTGAGACATGTTTACCTCCTAGGCCTGAGAAACTACTGGTTTCTATACTACTCTTACAATACAGCTGAATCCAGGAAAGTTTTGTTCATAAAGACGTCATTTTGTCCTATCACTCTTCCAAAAATAACCTTTCACAGACTTTGTCTGACATAAATAAATACTTTAAAGAACTTTAAATAAATATTTTAAATGAATTCTTGGCTTTTAAATTTAAAAAACCCCAACCAATTAACCAAGGTAACATAGCAAACTTGCAATAAACAATGAACATTGAGCTCAACAAACATCCTGGCCTAGGGCCTGGAGGAAGATGTTTTACAGCTTTCCTAATGTCCAAGAGAGTCCAGGCCATCTGGATCTCGGGGTGAGGAAAGGTCGGCTCATAATGCAGGTGCTACAACAGAAAAGGGAAATTTTCTAGGTCCCACCACATGATAATGTTTGATAGAAGGGACCTGAACTGCACCCACATGTCAGATCTGGTGGCCTGGACAGAAACGCTAGGGAAGAGGCATTTCACAAGAGTCTGGCCCTGTGCTGTGCAGTGCTTTAACAATGAAAATCAGAACCTTGGAAGTACACTGGGATCTAGTACAACTCCAGCAGCAATTAATTAAATTGGTGTTCCGAAAACAATGTATACCACTGTAGTCAGGATCAGCTGAAGCTTCTGAATGTTCTTCAACAGCAACCCATATAGACCACATTGTAGAACTCTAATTGGAAAGTGACAAGGCATGGGTGACTATCACTGATGCAGAAAATGGATTTGTGCAAAAGGCCCCATAGGCAGGGCTGCCACCTGCTATGTGAGTCAGAAGCCACTCAAATCTCCTAATCAAAAGATAGAAATTATTGAAATGCTAGCATAAGAGTTTAAAATTTTACTAGATTCCTGATATGGAAAATGCAATAATGATCAAGGCAGGGGAAAATAACTGTTCTTTTTCCAGTTTTTTTTTTAAAAGTACTAAATTGCACTCAAATCACCAAACAATTGCACTTATCTCACATGCTATTAAGATAATGTTCAAAATGTTCCATTCCAGATTTGCAAATATTGGAATGAGAACTACCAGATGTATAATTTGAAATCAGAAGAGACAGTCCAACATTACTAACAAGCAATGTTTAGTGAAAAGCTAACAACACTAACAACTCCAGTTACCTTGGTATCTTTATGATAGGTGGAACTGAATAAAACTTTAATAAGTATCTTCAGCAAGATACTTATTAAAAGAGAGAGTGCAAACATTGATATGCAACAATAGGAAATAACCCCTGCATTGCAAATATACAGAGAAAAATAACAAGACTTTTCCTTCTTAAGCTTAGAATGATTTTGATAACTATATCCATAAAATAGAGATATGCCATTTGGAAGAAAGACAGATCTACATAAAACACTAAAGTGCAGAAATGTCATACTGATGATAAATATACATACTGTTAAGACTATGATTTTTGAGTTGTAATATATGGCTGTGAAAAATTGGACCATTCCAAAAACTGAAGGAAGAAAAAAATATGCCTTTGAATTGTGCTGTTAAAGAAAATAACTGAGAATATCTTAGACTAGAAGAAGAACAAATAATTCCATACAGGATAAAGTAAAGTTCACTGGAAGTCTGAAAAATGAAACTAACACTTAAATATTTTAAATGCATAAGTCAAAAACCAGTTGGGAGAAGACCCTTTAGACAAAAAAAAAGCAAAATAACTAAATGTTATTACTAAATAGTTCAAGCATGAGCTAAGAATTCTGACAATGATAGTGAAACATTCACAAACAGAATTACAGAGTTTCTCCTCAGAGCTAGACTGATTCTCTCTTTGATTTGCTTCCGCCTTCAGGTGCTTTGGAAAATAGATTGGCCCCGTCTTTTTTGTAGCAGCCGTTTAGATACTGGAACTGCTATCATGCCACCCCTACTCCTTCTTTTCATTAAAGTAGACACATCCAATTCCTTCAGCTGTTCTTAGTATGTTATAGCCTCCAATCCTCTAATCATCTTTGTTTCTCTTCTCTGCACTCTTTCTCACATCCTGACATCTTTTTTTATATCGTGGCAATCAAAACTGGATGCAATATTCCAACTTCATCCTACCAGGCCATTATAAAGTGGTACTAACACTTCACATGATTTTCAATTGTATCCCTCTGTTAATACTTCAAATTAATCTAATTTGTTAGATAGAGCAGGTGTTCAAGTCTTCTATATCATGCACTTATCTTCGGGAGTTTTGGCTATTCCTGCCATCTTGGTGTCACCTGCAAATTTATGAGTTCCCCTTATCTAAATTATTGAAGAGTACTGAGCCTAAGTCAGAGTCCTGGGGTATACCACTGCTTACCATGGTAATGCAGTCTCATTAAAGAACTACATATTGAGTATGGTTGATCAGGCAATTAAGAATCCATTTGGTGGTGATGCTGTCTAACCCACATTTTTCTATCTTAACAAATAGTAGGTTGTAGGCTACTTTATCAAATTCCTTGCAGTATTTCTTGGGTCCACTAATTTTGTCATTTTGTAAAAGAAAGCAATAAGAGTTGTCTGGCATGATCTGTTTTTGACAAAGCCAAAGTTATGACTGCTTCCCTCTAGGTAGAAAACAGATGCACACAACTGAAAAATAAGAACAATCATTCAACCCAAAATTCCATTATGGTCAATGACAGCAAGATTTAAAAAAATACAAAAATAATGACCCTCTACAGAAAAAGCTGTGAATGAGTTATATGAAACCTAAATGCTAAGACTTAAAAAAATGAAGAAAATTAAATAATGTATCAGAAACAGACAAACATATAAAATATAAGATACAAATATAATTTTAAAAAGTAACAAAAAAACCCTATATGATTAGATCTTATGCCTTCCTACAGAAATTTCTGCAGCAGAACTTAGTAGAAACAATTGATGATGAGAGAGTTCTGATCTGCAAGCAGGAACCAAACTTCCTCTCTCTCATGATAATTTTGTTTTTGTTAGGAGGTGATAAAGGCATGCCTACACAAAACATAATGTAGAAAGAACAGTGGAAGAATACAGGCGAGAGGATTTCAGGTTCATTTGGACTACATGGATATCATCATTCAGTGAGTTGGAAGTGACTGAAAAAAACATTTGAACAAAATCAACCAATCAGTAGCAGGATTTATTTATTTAACATATTTGCATAGTCAAGCATCTTCTAGCCACCTCTGCATGGCTCCAGAATGAATCTACTACTCTTGTCTCTCATCTTCACTCCTACACTTTTTATGACAACAATAACCACAAAGAGAATCAGATATACACATTGCAAGACTTATATGGAATAACCTATTTGCTTTCTCTTTTTAGTAAATTATAAGTTTAGAAACTGTTACATAAATCTCATGCTATCATTTCTGCTTACCTATTTCCTCATTATACACTTGAGTATTAAGAGAAGAGCTTTGAGATACTTGGGGAACAATACTTTTTCAAGGACAAGTTGCCTTATTATTCTAAAACCATTGTAGTACAGCTGCAAAACATTTTTATCCACTAAATGCATCATCTTATTTGCAAGACTGGGAAAAACAGATGGTTCCTCTCTTTATGCTTTGATTTTTAGCCATTTGAAATTCTTTCATCATTAGTTATACACAAGATATCTGTAAAAGTAACACATGTTAAAGAAAGGAACATTAATGAAAATCAAAATGTTCAGCTCTGGGGGAAAAAGTGAGGAGGGAAAGTGTCCACAAAAAGTAAAGAAACTGTCATTTTGAAGAGTTTGTGTTGTAGAGCATTCTGTCCCTGATGTATATCATTTCCTGTTCATCATGAGTAAAAACAGGAGGTATATTTTACAGATGGGTCTGTTGTGCATATCTAGATATGCATATGGTTTTAATTCTAGGTTCTAAGCAGCAATGGGCACATTTGGGAGACAAAAAGGTCATGCACAGTTTAACAGCACTAGAAGGAGTCTCCCCCATCCCGTCATCCCCTCCTAAAACCATTTACCATTCATATGAAGGTATAGGAATACTTTTCAGTCCAAGATAAGAATTGCAAGAACATCCACTTGCTGAATAAAATTTAATCTGTTTTAATACCAGTCTCTGAATATTACTGAGCTTGGATTGTCTCTTTTTCCACAATACAAATAAAGGTTGCTAAGCAACTTCTTTTTTAAGAATATAAGAAAGAGGGAAAGGGAAGGGAAAGGAAAAGAAGGGAGGAATGGAGAAAGGGAGGGAGGGAGGAAGGAAGGAAGGCTATTCCATAGACACTGATGCCAACATGTTAACTTGACATGTAATCCTACTCTTTCAGTTACATCAATCTCAATTAAAAGTGAATTGAACTTCATTTGCTTGTAGCCAGTTGCACCTTCCAAATTGAAATGGATATGCTTTAAAAAAATGTTTTAAGATCCTTGATTATGTAATAACAGTATAAATTACTAGCAAGGCAGAGTCACTCTGGACCAGGGTTCAGAGAAATTATACATGTTGACATATCACAGTAGCTTAGTTCCATCCATATGTGATGTGAATGAAAAATCACTAAATTAAGTTTGTATTAGGCTTGATGTGTACCATCAGACACTGTTGAACTGTTATGATGCCCTACCACATTGCTTCTTTAATACATTCTGTTTATAGGATTAGAATTTAGGACCTTCTGATAAGAATGACCCGTTGTCCATCTGAATCAGCTGTATAGGACATTCTATGTTAATCACCATTAGAATCAATCCAAAGAATTGTGGAGCTTAAAGAACTTTAAATCAGGGCTCTCTAAAGTTATTCTTTTGAACTAGTTGCCTAAATGATATAATATTAAGCAAGATAATGTGAACCGGTGGATTAATATCCAACAGAAGGGAAATCCATGGATCAACTCCAACATAAGAACAAATAATGTAAGAACAAACTTGTCAGAACAAGCCAAGCCTGCATTCTGTTTTTTCCCCCAGTAGCTAACCAAGTAGCCCTGGAAGATGGAGATGAAGACATACCCCTTATCCACTATTGTTTCTTTGTAACAAATATTTAGAGGTATGGTAACATTAAGCCTTCAAGATTAATAGCTTGGAAACTAAATGAATCTAATTTTCTCTTAAAACCATGTATGCATACTAATGGCTATTAAAATCTTCCTGGTACTGAATTCCATAGATTAATTGTGAATAAGAGTTTTCCTTTCCATTTCTGGTCTTACCTTTGGAAGGAAGGGAAGAAGAAGTTCTCCCTATCCTTTTTCAGGGTTTCTTAAAGACATAGAGGACATAAATAGAAGTGTTTCCCTCTTGAGCATGTATAATGTGTACGTACATTTGATGCTATGTTGTCTTGGAGTCATGCATGAAATCATGATTTCTTAGAGTAAATATGCAAAGCTGACCAATAAAATGATATAAAATCATCTATTAACAGTATTTCTTTGATGCATGCATAAGATTAAGGTGCATTGTCTTTACCTAGTCCATTATTACTGGCAAACACTGATTAAACATTTTCCCTTCTCCTCAGGGATTTCATGAGAAAGAGAAATCTTGTTATCGGTGTATTGATGGCATGCGTGGCACTCTTAAGCTCCAGATAAACCTCAATTGATGGCTTTATGTAGATGTTAAATAGTTTAGATATTAAAAGAGCAATGCAAGAGCCAAAGTATACTTGCCATGGAAACAAAAAAGCTTTTTTTTTTTTTTGGAGAATGGTCATTTTCTGGAAACTTTAGCAGCCCTGAATTCCTAGATGCACATTCCAACAAATTCCTTAGATTTAAGAATGATCTTATTATCAAACATCAAATAATAGTGTTTCCATTGGCAATTGTAAATATTTCTCCCTCCTTCTCTCTCCCCCCTCACACACACACACATCTAAAATGGTCCCAAGATGGTCTAGGACAGTGGTCTCCAATGTTGGCAACTTTAAGACCTGTGGACTTCAACTCCCAGAGTTCCTCAGCCAGCCTTAAAGTTGCTAAGGTTGGAGACCACTGGTCTAGGAGATTGACTTGGAGTATTTCCTTTCCTGCTTCTCCTTTTTCATCCTTTTTCATTCCCATTTGATCACTACTTTTTGTTCTTTTCTGCTAACCCACAGCACTAGACTTTCATTACCTTGAAAGAAAGTTATACCTTATGCCATATTGAGATGGAAAATTGGGATGAAGGTACATTATTCCTTTGTACATTATCCCTTTAACACTACTAACATAGTGTGGTTCACTATAACTTACATGAAGATCCTTCAGATTTTTGAAATCTCCATCCTTTATTTCGGTTATTTTATTGTTCTGTAAGTCAAGTAGAGTAGTATCTGGGGGAAGATCTTTCGGAACTTCCTTCAAACCTATAAGGGGCGGGGATGAAATATTATTACAACCAAAGAATAAAGATACCTGAAAGAAGTTAATTATATTTTAGACTTTCAACTTAATCAGAATTACTGCAAACAAATATATACTAGACCTTATTATCTAAAAGTTATGAAAAAATCATATTCAATTTGTAATATAAATCATTGTGATCCTTTCTCTTTTTATCTAAGTGGAATTTCTGAAAGCTCATACAGTTTAAATGCTATTCATATTGATGTGAAAGGATTAAAAAGCCAATTACTAATCATAGTTCCCAATTTCATTAATACTCTCAGATGTCCATTGCTTTTTCATTTTTCACTATTGTAAACTGGTGATTTATGCATGTATGTATGTAAAATAAATAAAAAGTTAGGTAAAGATTTAAACGCATTCAATCATTTTGAAAATTCCATGTTCTAATTATGGTCAGTTAGAACTAGACTATAATTCTGTACAACAATCTGAGGCCAGACTTGGAAACTTTCTCAATATTATATTCTGCAGGTTTCGTCAGACAAATGCTTGAAGAAAGGCCTTGTTTGGGTTCAGTTACTTGTCTGGGATCTGAAGAGAGTAAATTGTATACAATCAGTATGGGCAGATCAAGCAGTTGTTTAATTGGATATGTATCCTTCTACTAAAATAAACTGTGAAATTATTTCTGTAATGATCACAATTCCAAAATACGTTTTAAAAAGGACTAATACACTCATATGACTGATCACAATGTAAATGCTCACTTTATTGGATTAATAAAAGCTAAACATATTTCTTGATTGAACTGTATGAACTTTATTATTTCTTTTTGAAACTGAGACTATATTCAAGTTGCATGTGTTGAATATGCAAATAACTGTGTATGCAAATAACTGGGGGGAAGGAGTGTTGAATATGCAAATAGTTTTAGGCCAGCAACAGCCTGTGCTGCGCCCTGATTGGCTGGGACGCAGCATAGCCTGTTGCTAGCCGGTTACCAGCCCTGATTGGCTGGTCATTTGACAGTTGCTTTGGGTTCGAGTATAAATACCCTGACCGTTTCAGGGAAGTTTGAATCGCTGTCATCTTGTACTTAATAAAGATCTGGTTCTTGCAATCCATGGCTCCTGCGTCTTCCCTCATGATGTAAAAGCATGTGTTTGTGTATGTATACGTGACTGTGCATACATGTTTATGTGTTATGTGAAGAATGTATTTCTACTTAGCTGTCTGTTCTGACCCACCTTGTCCCACACCAACACACACTCCAAGCCAAAGATAAGTTATGGCATTTAATTAACAGACAGACAGGTCCTTGGCAGCAAACCGGCACAAACGGGCAGTAATCCAGTACAGATAAGCCGTGGCAGCAATCCAGCCTGCCAAGCTCACAATAATGTTCTCCAACATTATTTCCTGTGTTGTCTTCTGCAAAAGAGGCGTGTGCACAAGCAGTCTTTTTATAGTCTGGAGAGGAGCCTAATGACCACCAGCTGAGTGCAATTACCTCCTGTAATTGCATAATTGTTCCTTACGCCTATTAGCTCTCCGGTGCTGGGCATCTAGGAACAACTCCCTTGGCTCCTCCCCAGTACTGACGTCTGGATCACACTCCCTTGTCTCCTCCCCACTGGTCCAAGGCTTAGGCGCCTCCTGGTGGCCAACCAGCCTCTCTGCGCCCTGCTCGGAGTCAGAACCCTCTCCAGGGTCCAGAGCCGACTCATAAGGCCCCTCACTGTCGGAGTCTGGTGGCAGCTCCAATGGCTCCTGCTGGGCCACAACAGCTATCTATGCTTTAATACCATCAGACAGATTGCTTAAAATGTGCAGCCATTTTCAAATACAGTTTACATGGAATTAAAATTATTTCATACAATCTCACTTTACCCACAGTCTAAATGACCTATTGTATATTCTTGTAGCATGTGTTCCTGGGTTCTGTGTTATTATTGCATGATAAAAAATAGGACCACACAACTATGGAATATTTAAAAAGGGGTTTTTAGTATTGTTTTGTAATAGGATAACAAATTGTAAAAAGAGAGTTGAAGTGACTTTACTTGTTGTTCATCAGTTTAACTGTATTTTAGCAGATTTATATCTCATCTTTTTTTTTTCATAAAAAAGCCAGTAGTGGCATGAATGAATTTCCAGATGTCTCCCTTCTAGGCACTAAACACAGTTAAAGCGATTTGTCAGAAGTTAACTATATCAAGTAGCAATTTCTTTTGCAGTATTCCATCCTTTTCTTTTTCCAGGATTCAAAATGCACAAAACATTTATGTACAGCTAATCATGTAATCAAGCTGAAACCTGCTATGATCTACTACACTGTCTTTGTGGGTGCTTTATTCTGGATGCCTTATATGATGTGGTATATTTTATAAAGGTATAAATTACACTGATGAGGGGTGGGGAGTGCTTAGGATATGCTAATCCTTAATGGCATTTTTTATTCTGGTGGTGCCAATTCTTATTGCATCTGAAATCTCCTGTATTTTTTATGTCTATCACTGAGAAATAAGTAATCTTTCCACTACAGGTAGACAAAACTACTGTAAAAGGGAACTATTGGAGCATTTACAGGACAAGGAGAATAGAAGCAATTTTCAAAGTAGGGATAGAAAAGCAAACAGCAAATAGTAAGAGGCCATTTTGCCAACTGGCAACAAAGTTTTGAACCTCTGTGCTTACTAGATGCAGAACCATATATTACTGGTATAGGCTACCTTTCTTCAAAAGATTTGGAGATAAACGAATTAGAAATGTAATGATTGCTGCTGTATTAAAAAAGTAAGATGCTGTATACTTAAAGTGTCTACTGTGGTTTATAATTTTGCTTAATTATATGAAATATATCATTTTGGCAAAAATTATCAAAATTAAATCAAAACTATAAAACTCCAGATTCTTGTCTCTAAACTTACTTGTCTGTTTTATCCAATACTTTTTCAGAGAAAGTAATTCACTCTTGGTTTCCTGTTGTTTAAACCATTTCTAGCCTCTATTTCAAAGTCTAAATTCTATCAATTGTGAGGCTGTAAAAATCAGCTGTAGAGTTTGTCTAATGAGCATTTGATTTTTAAGGATTAAAATTAAAATTAAAATAAGGAACCTTGCCACCTATGTCATCTCTTATCTGTCAAATTTCTTATAAACGCAGGTTGAAGACATTTGTATAATTTATCCTTTTTGGATTTTTATCAAATTATATTACATGAAATAAATCCAATCTTAAGAAACCATATGGCAATGATTGATTTTCTGTAACATTTTCTCCATTTATTATTCACACATGACTCAGGCTTAGCCTGACGACCAATATATGTCCATTGTTTTTTCTATCTTTTGTAGAATAAATTCTAATTGCCAATCAAGTTTATATATTTCTATGTTACCAGTTCCTTAATTTTCCAGAAGTTTCCTCTTAGAAATATGACTATATTAGTTAGAAATGTTATATATATATACATACATACATACGTACATACGTACGTACGTACGTACGTACGTACGTATGTATATATACATATAACATTTCTAACTAATATAGTCATATTTCTAAGAGGAAACTTCTGGAAAATTAAGGAACTGGTAACATAGAAATTGGAAGAATAATCATGAATATCAAATAACTCCAAAACTGAAGGGTTATTTGAAAAATTAATTAAAACCACAATAACAGAAACTTAGAAGATCAAGAAATTAATACAGTCTAAAGGATTCCCAACATGGTCAGTAGGCAGTAAAGGATACATTAGAGAAAGGTATTTGTTTGCAAATGGTAACAAAAACAGATACTTGGAAAAAAATACAAAACTAGAAGAAAATAGCAATGGACACAAAACAGGATATTAAGAATAGTTTAAATAGTTTTAAACATTTAAATACATCAGCTGGAGAAAATCAGATAGAGAGATGAAAGAAGTAAGTTTTCCAGAGAGGTTTTAAATATGAATATTTAGCTTTCCCCCCCCTGAAATACTGAAAACAAACAGAGCACTAGATTCAGTCCAGATGGTATCCATCTGATGGTTCACAAAGAATTCAGCTATGAAATTGTTTATCTTCTAATAAATACATGTATCATGTTGCTAAGAGGGCCTACACCAGAGAAGATTGGGAAGCCAACATGATGGAAAACAGAGAATAAAAATAAAGTATACATTCTTGCCAAAGGAACCATACAAATGCTTAGATTCCTTAAGAATCTGTATTGGGAAGAATGCCTGTTAATAAACCAAAATGAGTGGTGAACTGCAAAATGGCTATTCTTCTGGGGTCACCTAAATTCAAATAACAAATTAACTCTTACAAGTACTTATTAGGTCAAATTCTTGAAAATAAGTCACTCAGAACTTAAGAATAGAAAGGTAAAGGTTTCCACTGTCCAGTTGTGTCTGACTCTAGAGCAGGTGTTCATTTCTGTTTCTTAGTAGAGGGAGCCAGCATTGTCTGAAGATACTTCCATGGTCATGGGGCCAGCTATACATTGAGGTGCACAGAAAACTATTACCTTTCCACCAAAGGGATAGCTATTTGTCTACTTGAATTTGCATGATTTTGAACTGCTAGGTGGTCAGGAGCTGAGGCAAGTAACAGGAATTCACCCTATTGCACAGTGCTCAGGTCTCAAACCCAGGCTGTCAGTTTTCCAGCTGACAAACTCAGCATCTTTAAACTGCTTAACCATTGTGCCCCTAGAATCAATGATTCAACATGCCTTTGTCTGTTAGAATGGAATTATAGTTGTGGATTCAATAAAGCATGATATTGTGGATACAACAAAGAATGGGGAAATGTATGTGTATCCCTCTCTCCCCCTCTCCGCCCCTCTCTGTTTGTGTTTGCGTGTGAGAGAGATTAAGACCAGTTATGAAATTCAATATCCACCCAAATTGTTATACAGTTAAATCAGTACTATCACTGACTACCAAATTTGGCCCAATGTGCAATTAAAGAATATTTCTATGCAATTAAGCTTGTAAAGAAGTGGTATTTTGATGTTTGGCGATAATATCATTTTCTCCATTGGAAATGGGGAAATCTGCAGAGCAGCAATTAGCCTTGTTACAGCATAGCAACATTAATTCACTTGCAGTCTGGGAAGCTTCTACTGCTGATTGCAAAGCAATAGTTTGCTGATGTGGGAAGAAGGGAAAGCAGATTTCCTATTTTTTTAGCCCAGTAATTTGGAATAAAGCAATATATACTTAGATATATGAGCAATACAAATCATTTATTAGAGTTATAAAATATGTTGATGAATTAGAATATAATCAGAATCTTTGACCCGACATTTGAACAGAGAATCTGTGGAGCTCTGTCATATCCTTTGGAACTTACTTGTGGCAACACAACTACCTAGTAGGCAACATAACAATTTCCTCTTTTACAGCAAGGACAGTATTTATCTTTGGAATTCTATAAATATATGTAAATGAAACACTGCATTGAAATAAAACTATACTCAAAGTTCCATAGCATCATTTGTCGTTATTTCAACCATTTCATTTTAAAAACATTTTTAAAAAAACATTTTAAGGAAAAGTCAACCACGAATACAAGATAGATACACCCTTTAGAAGTTCATAAAAGCATCAAAGGATTTTAAACTTAAATATGTTTAATCTTTTTGAAAAGAAGTATCTTAATTGCTTCTACTCAAGTATTTTCAAAACTGGAGAAAATATAATTCAGGAAATAATTCAGTGCAGATTAATATGGATAATAATTAATATACGCCCACTTTTAATAACCATTTAAAATGTTTTGGATGAATTGTCTGATTCAGGTATTGTCAAAAACATTGTATACGCTTATACTCTCAGTAAATCCAAAAATTATATCCAGAAATGCATAATGTGCTCAAAAAAATCAATATATGCTACTGTTTAAACTTTTATATAATTCTTATGATCCCAATAGGAAATTTAAGAAAACTTGAAATTCCTTTTAAGATATAGGGCCAAGAGTCTTTGGTTAATGCTCAGATTTCATTTTTCTATGTACTGTTTATCACTTAGGAACAATGCAGCTCATAATGTGAACACAAATACTAAACCAACATTTTGTGATGTAGAAAAAAAAACTTTTTAAGAGTTTTCAGTTTATGGTTTACTTTGTCATCACTCACTGCCATTATATATGAAATATAGCAGGGTTTCAGATGTATGGCATCAATATGTGAAATGCAAATTGTTTTAGAAATGAATTACCAGGCCATGATGGCACTTCTTTTCAAGCAAGTGAATGATATAAATTTCAATTTTTTGGATTTCTAAATGGTTAAGAATGACTGATTAATACAAATATTTATTAGCTTTCTGACAATCACATGATTTCTGCATATCTATATTTCTACTAAATAGTTAATGCCTCTGGAAAATGACCTCTTATACAACTTAAGGGAAGAAATAATAAAACATAATTAATGTGCATTACATATTAGAAAGAGTTTGTAACTGGAAGAAAGAACTGAAAATGATAAGAACTGAAGATAGAAAACAACTCAGAAGATAAAAAGCTATTTCCATTATACTTGCAACTTACTATAGTTGAAGGTATTTAGGAAAACTTCAAAGTATAATGGTATTATAGCCTTTATATTCAATATTTTTCATTCATGTTCTGATTATTTATTATTGATACATTGTACTGAATTGTTTTTCTTCTTCCTCAGCCAGTCTTAAAAACACATGTCCAACGTGGGTTGAAAGAGGACAAAATATATTATTAATGCTAGATGAATAACTTGCAGTTAAACTGATAAATTATATGAAGTTTCTCTTTATTTAATTATATCTCTTTTGTTCTTCATATGATTAGGCAGACAATACAGAATAAAGAGAATAGAAAGGAACTGGAAACCAAGGCCTTACTTTTCTACATGTTGATAAGATTATTCAACATCACATATTTCAATTTAATTAGAGGAAATTCAACACATTGAACACAGTGTTATTGCCACAGGCTAATTCAAACTCATTTAAATCAATCAAAACAAACATTTTATGAGGTAACATTTCATTCAACTTACCTAAATCGGAGCACTGAACAACCCGGAGGTGGCATTGACAACGAAATGGGCATACTGGCATTGGAGGATATCCTGCAGGTTCAGGCGTTCCAGATCCTGCTTCATCTTCAAGCATAAAATCAAACAAGCCTCTTTGATAAAATGGTTTGGCCAAGCAAAGTGGCAGGAATAGAAGAAAAAAGATAGCCAGTTTCATGACTTAGTTCATCTATTCAGCAGAGCAGGAATGAATCTAGAAGTCAAAGCAAAGGTATACAAGATGGAAACATAATTTGGGCATCTTTTGCACATTTATCATTTAACAAGCTTCTAGTGTCACAGTATTCTGGTGCCATTTTCCAGATGTCTGGTCAAACATATCCAAAGTATCCAGTGCTTTTGTCAAACTGACAAGAGATCATTGTGTTGTTACAACCCAAACTGTACCTATTTCATACATGTGTGTGATGCCATAATGCATATACGAAGAGGGCAGGGCTTGTATTACAGCAGCATGATGTATCTTGTGTCATTTGACACCTTCTGACCCCATGCAAACACAGTTATGACATTTCTGGTCCTTCTGTTCTTGCATGATATTGTTATTATATCTTATATAGTTTTCAGGTAAAGTTTGGATTTTAAAAAATGTTTTAGAAGTCCTTTATTAAATTATTTTAAAACATTTTTAGCATTGTGGGGGGGTTTCCGTTTTAAATGAATAGAATGGTAATAAAATGTGGGCATGTTTGTCTATCTGTCCACATGTCAATACAATGAAGGATTGTATTTTCACAATTTATACAAGAAACAGAGAACCATGGTAACCCAGAGTTACAAAAAGCAACATAGAGACAATTGTATATATTACTGATTTAGCTTACATTTTATTAATAACAGATGCCTTTACTGGAACAATAATGATGGTTAAAAGTCACACAAACTTTCCATCTCTAATTCTTAGTCAACGTAGAAACTGAACTGAAATCTTTCTCTCCCTACTTTTTATATTTGGATGGTTTTTCTGAAGTTCTGAAACTTATGAGTGGGGTTTGAGTAGGTGAGATTGCTTGATTGATTTTGACAATCAACAAAGTTATCAGGTAGTTATACTCTGTGAAAAGAAGTTTTAATTGCCTAAAATGAACTTTATGCAACAAAGGGAGAAAAAAACCTTCAGTTGTCATATTAGTGCAAATGAGCTTTAAGCTGATAAAATAGTAAGGAACTTAAATTACTAATTAGGCAACTGATATTTAATTGCAGATTCAGGTCTTCCAGGGTGAATGATGCAAGGAGAAATGGGAGGAGCTGAAAGGATTTCTATAAATAGAAATTTATATAAAGCTCCTTTTGTATACTTAATTTGTATACAAGAGCAAAAGTAAACAAAAGTCAAATGACAGAAAATATTGATATTATTGCTAGAGTATTTAAAAATATTTCATTGTTCCATGAACAAATGGAATGAACACAAATGCTCACTGTTCTTAATACATTTTTAGAATAAAAATAGTATATGAATAAATAGTATATTTATTCAGACAAATATGTTTTTTTTTTGTTGTTTCTTTGGATCTAATTTAGATGGTATTAGTGTGGCATAAAAGTCACCCTCTTATCAATCCTAATTAGGGTCAATAAATATTTATCAACGTAAGTTTCATGAGGCAAATGGTTGGCAATTATTTCCCACATGAACATTGTCATTTGTGAAAAGGAAAAAAAATGTCCTTTACTTGTTTGCTCTTTATATATATATTTGTGACATGAAACCTTGCTATTTTCCAAAATGATATGAAAACTGTATCTTCATATCTGTACACCAGAAAACCATCATGCAATTTTATTGAAATAGTAATTTACTAGGTGATCTATTTAATTGCAGGGAAATTATAGTGGAAGTAACAAAATTATAGAATTATATTTTCAGATAAATCCTTGTACAAAATAGGGAATGAAATTCAATCAGGTTTTCCAGAGGTGGAAATTATTCAAGACTTAGATAAAGAAGAGGCATTTTTGATTCTCTCTGCAGCTATCCATAAAAGGCTGCAGAGAATGCAGCATAGAAAGGAGAAAAGGAGGGGGGAAAAACTTCCATTGTACAAATGGATTCTCCTTTATGAAACATTGGATTATTCCTTCACATATGCATGCATTATCTTTTGTTACCATAATCATCTTATGGGGAAAAAGCAGGAGAGGAAAATGCCCCAAAGTCACCTCTTAAATTGCATTATGGGATATAAACTAGCACCCAGATCTTAACACTCCAGAGCTAACTACCTCAACCCAAAACTATGTAGATAGTTTATACTAGAGAGTCCAGAAATTCTAGCCAATTGCCTTATTTTGCATTAACTGATTCATTAGTGTATAGTGAATAAATGTATTTTTCTATTTCGAAAGAATATCAGGGTAACAGATGTTCTAGGGCATTAAAATTAAAATATATACTAAAATTGCTATTTTGGCCATCAAATTAGTCATCGCATATAGACTAATTCATATGATGATGATTTTTAATTCTCTAATAGTAATGAAATATCATGACACTATAAAAACAAAGGGATGCTTTGGATTAGATAGTGTATACTTTAAAGGATTTTCAATTAAAGATTAACTAATTTAGATTATTGGTTTGGAAGTATAAATAATACATGATTATTACATTTCATAAACCAATGCTGTCTTTAGAAGCATTTTAATAATCTATAATTAAACAAGGTCATTCTACCCTTAATAATGGGCCTTATCCTGCTGTATTCTTTAGTAACTGTAGGATCTTTCATCAAGTTCTCCATGACTGTACAATGGGAATGAGTTCCATGAGCCTAATGGATTATTCTTCTGCATAAATTTGAATAGGAAATTCAGAATAAACATGCATGGTTAAGAAACATACAAAACCTCTGAATTCCTCAAGCAACAAAAACTACAAACTAGCTATGGGAAACATATTTTAAAACAATACATTACATTACACTGAGCACAGAGGTGGTGGTGCATATTGCATTTTGTTGTGGTATTTCTGTCCAGTATTTTAGATCTCTTCCTGCAAGATGAATCAGCTGTAGCCACAATCCTTGAAATAAATATTTAACTTAACTGACTGGTGGCAGACAATACTTTACCTTGCTTTTACACAAGAGGAAACTACAGTTCTGTTTTATTTCAGAATTATCCTTTGATAATCATTCTTTGATAAAGCTGTAAATGGATTTCAGGTATCCAAAACTAACTAACTAAGGATTGCTAACTGGTGAGTTAAATTTGGTATTCTGCAGGATGCAGTCAGAGTCTTAGAGAAACATATGAATATCAATTTTCAGACAGAGTGAGTATCTGCTTTTACAGTTCTTTGCTTTTACCACTGTACAGCTCTGTTTGTTTGTCTTTAGTACTTTTCAGCTGAGAATTTCCCTGTCTAAAATATCTAACCACTACATACATGCGAAATATACAACTTTAGAATGTAAGGACCTTTGATCCTAGGGGGAATGAATTTCCTCTTTAATTTAAAATAATCATTGGGAAGAAAAACATTCCAGTTTTTCAAGTGCAAACATGAAATCTCACAGTTCTTTTCTCTTACAATATCACCCTCTCCAAACTCCACAATGCAAGAAAATCCATAGCTGCAAAATGCCTTAAAAAGCATTCTAAAAATAACAACCAAAACAAATCTCCCTAAAAGGTTCAATACGTTTAGGAAATATCAAATATTCTCAATAACGTTCTCAAATATTACAGACACAACATTCCCCACCACCACATTTCCCTCCACAACTAAAACTTTTCTTACACTCTCAGAAAGATTTTGCTTCTTAAAAGTGAAAATGCATTCAGAACAATTATTAATGAAATCCATACCTTTTCATCCAGGGATTTGCAACAGGCACTCTTGGAGCTGAGATGCAATTAACCGAAAAGAGCCAGGCAGAAGATCCTGCAGGTGTGGAAAGGAGGAGGGGTAGTTGAGTGAGGCGAGACTGTCACTTGGTAAGAACCCCTCCTGCTTCTTCTATTCCATAGCACAGTTAAAAAGCAAAGTTTTCCTCAATGAAAAGATTCCAGGCAGCTGACACCCACAGTACATCATATGGTAATGATATGTCTCCTGTATTGTAGCCAGAAACTTTATCAGCCCCCATTTTCTCCCTTTTCCTTTATTTCTTTTTCATGTGTTCAACTTCCTAAATACTTTTACAGATTAGCCAGAATAATGGGTCATTTTTCCCCCTTTAGCATGCCCAACTATCAACTTAATTTGAGGATTTTCTAGCTTTGGAGCATTCCCCCCCCCCCCCCCC